CGCTGCTGCTGGCGCTCCTCCACGAGCTGCAGGCCCCGGCCTCACCCTGGAGCCCCTACTTTGCGCTCTGGCCCGAGCTGGGCCGCTTGGAGCACCCGATGTTCTGGTGAGAGCCGTGGAGGGGTGGGGGGCAGGCTGCCTCCGGAGCACTGGTCTCGGTGGGGCGTGTGAAGGGAACGAGGGTTTCCCTGCAGGCCGGAGGGGGAGCGCCGGCGGCTGCTGCAGGGGACAGGGGTCCCCGAGGCCGTGGAGAAGGATTTGGCCAACATCCGCAGCGAGTACCATTCCGTCGTGCTGCCCTTCATGGAAGCCCACCCCGACCTTTTCAGCCCCAGGGTTCGCTCCCTGGAGCTCTACCAGCAGCTCGTGGCTCTTGTGATGGCCTATAGGTCAGTGAGCAGCCTGGGAGGACCCTTTTCTTTAGAACGCTATTGAGGGACAGGAGGGGAGAGAACAGTGAACCCCACCCCAGCCCCTCTTCCTGCCCTGGGCTTCAGCCAAGTTCTCTCTGGTAGCTTTCAGGAACCCCTGGAGGAAGAGGATGATGAAAAGGAACCAAACCCCCCCTTGATGGTGCCTGCCGCAGACATACTAAACCACGTAGCCAAGCACAATGCCAATCTAGAGTACTCTCCAGTGAGTGGACCCCTCCCAGTGCGTTCGTAGGTGTGTTGATGACTGGGCATGATTCAGACCAGTGCCTGTCATTTGTGGCTGTTTGGCCACTAGGCTAAATGGGCTCCACTTTCCTGGCCCTGAAAAGAAGTGAAGTTAGGGCCTCCTATATGTGCGTCTCCCAGTGAAATAGTTTGAGCACATAACTTCTCACATTTGTGGTTAATCTTCTGATGAACTTGACTACCATCATTTCTTTGGTGCTGGAGGTGGGCTGCTCTGCACAATGCCAGGGTGTGGGCAGCAGGGCAGCGGTGCAAGATGATGCCGGGGCTCATTAAATTGTTTACTGTGTGGAGGTTTCTGTTGGTGGGCATAGCATCAATCCCATAGCTGAACAGGCCTGCTGGAGGGTCTTCCTAAGGGGGCAATAATCATGGGGCGGGGAAGGGAAGGGCCTGGTCCCAGCTGCTCCCTTCCACTCCAGAACTGTCTTCAGATGGTGGCTACTCAGCCTATTCCCAAAGGCCGTGAGATTTTCAACACTTATGGGCAAATGGCCAATTGGCAGCTGATTCACATGTATGGCTTTGCTGAGCCATACCCTGACAACACGGATGACACAGCTGACATTCAGATGGTGACAGTGCGAAAGGCAGCATTACAGGGTGAGTGCCTGATTGACTCAATCCTGGGCACGTGGATGTGCCTCTTTCCCCTATCCCTGTCCCAGGTGCTTTGCTAATAGTTGCGTTTTGCAGACTAGGGGTAGACTAAGAAACGACCTTTGATATACCGAGACTTGACACTACTTTTCTATCTACAGGAACAAAAGATGAAGCTGAAAGGCTCCAGCTGTGCGAACGCTGGGATTACTTATGCGAACTAGAGATGGTAGGGGAGGAGGGAGCCTTTGTGATTGGGCGGGAAGAGGTGCTGACTGAAGAGGAACTGACCACCACACTCAAGGTAAAGGGCCCCCAAACTGCTATTTAATGCTCAAAGCAGCCTTCATATTTAGAGCTATAGAGCCAGGTGAGGGAGGAAGGGAGGGATGAAGGGAAGAGGATATTTGAATGCTACCAAGGTAGGTTGTCGTCTCTACATCAATTTCAGAAACACACAGGTGGCAAATCCTAATTAAAGGGCCCATGGTTGCTTCTAGGTCCTGTGCATGTCTGCTGAGGAGTTCAGAGAGTTGAAAGAACAGGATGGATGGGGAGATAAAAGGGAAGAGGACAGCCTGACGATCACAAATATCCCCAGACTCAAAGAATCATGGAGACAGCTTCTTCGGGACAGTGTTCTGTTGACCCTGCAAGCCTATGCCACAGACTTAAAAGCTGAGCAAGATTTACTCGGTAATAAGGACATCTACAGCAAACTCAGCTGGAGGGAGCAGCAGGCCTTACAGGTTCGTTATGGGCAGAAGATGATCTTACACCAGCTGTTGGAACTGACGAGTTAAAGCTAAGCGGATTCCCTGCTACCTGAAGGAACATCCCATGAGAAGGGCTTTTCTAAGCTGATATTCATGGATGCTTGAAAAGGAGGAAAATTTGGTGGTTAATAAGAAAAGCCAAAGGAGCAAAGGTGTGCTAGGATGAACTCTGAGGTAAGGGGACATGTTTAAGGGTTGGGAGCAGCAGACGGGAATTTCTGCTAATTGTCACCAAGACCAATTACCCCCCGCCCCTTTTTTTTAACTTCTTAAAACCAAAACACTTTATAGCTGTTTTGTTCTCAGTTTGGACCAAAGTTAGCAGAAATTCGATTATGATAATAAAATAAAAGGTCTTGTAGTCCAGTGTAGTGTTTAACAACACGACCTTTGAAAGTAGACCTGGTTAAAATTGAGTCTATTTGGAACAGAAAAGACAACCTCAAGTGGATTCCCACCCCCCAAAGTTTAGGCCTGGTAACTGTGTGTCGCTTTGACAATTAACTGCTGCCTTAACTTTTTTATAAGCATTTAATAAGCTATGTCACTGGCACTCAGAGCATGTTTTAACTCCTCAGCAGTCTGAAGTTTGCTCTAGATGGGACAACTCACCCTCAGGGAAGAAATCCTGACCTTTTTGTCCTCTCTGGCCATAAACTTGACAGCCATTAAAGGTGTAAGTTTCACATATACACCTACTCCTTTTAAAATTAAAGGGCATTTTGTAATTGTTTAATCATAGAAACCTGCTCTAACAATTTTCTATTGAAAAGGAACAGGAAGAAACACTTAAAAAAAAAAAAAAGACTTTTTTTGCTTGTTTGAGCAGGCCAAACAGGCTCAAAACTAGTGGGAAAGATCTACCGTTTAGCAAAAAGCTGGTTCCCAAAGTCTCCAGGCTTTGCAAGGGTGGACTGTCAGCACTGGCTGCTGCTCCTGAGGAAAGGCACAGTGGACTGGCATGTGTGTCATGACTTTAATGCTGCACTGACTGCACACACAAGAAGTAGGGAAGCTAACGGCCAAGACCTGGAAAGGCTACAGAGTATAACACTGGACCAATACGTATCCTTACAAAAGAGGTTGTGTTGGCCCTTTTGACTTTTTTTTTGTTATTCTTCTTAGCCTGGGATAAAGGGGGAGGGTAGTTGATACTATTTGGTTCCCTTTCCTCAGTTTACAAGCATCAGGAGAGATTTCGTACATGGCAGCAGCAGCCTCTTCACATGCGATGGGCAGTTACCAGTTTATGTACGTGCCTTTGATACTTTTTGCACAAACCCAAGAAGTTCCAGACAAAGGTTTTCTCTTTCATATATTTACACAAGTTCAAAATGATATTCACAGCATTTTCTAAATTTTGGCCAAGAGTCAAAAAAATGCATTTAAACTTTGGAACGTGCCCACATAGACAGGAAGCTGGCCCAAACTAATGGGGGCAGGTTCCTGAGAACCAAAGGGCTGGGAAAGTCAGGAAGAGCTGAAAGGATTCCTCAGCCAGTTTATGGACTTGGTGCTGTGGGACATCCAGGCTGACACATTTACAACAGAAATGCAGTTCCGTCTAACTGGCACCTGTCCCTTCCATTACTTGCTGAGCCTGCTTCTGTCCCATGCAGCACTGTGCGACGGACTGGAATAACCTGAAGGGAAAGAATGTTCCTACAAAACTAGAAAGTGTAGCCCTAGTTGATTTTGCTCAGTGGGTAGAGCATCAGCCTGCACACCACACCAAAGGATCTCAGGTTCATGTCCCACCCCCATCTGTATGTGTGTGGGAGGCAACCAGTCAATTTATCTCTCACATGCATCTAACTCTGGAAAGCAATGGGAAAAGACATCCTCAAGTGAGGATTGACATTTCCCACCTGCCAAAGATCAGGCCTGGCAACACTGTGTGCAGCTTTAACAACTGCTGCCTTAACGATCCACCCAGGCTGAAGCCATCAAATGATTCTCATTCTCAGACAATTAAAAATCTTTTAACTTACTTTTCAATTTCTGGGGCACAGTGTACAAATTCATGGTTCCAGAACTTAAATGCTGGATTTTTAATCAGCTCAATGAAGGTAATAAGTAGACCCCAAGGATGTGGCCTATTTACAATCAACCGTTCCAAGAGAACCCTAGAGAAGAGAAGAGTGAGTGAGTTAATGCAACGAATTCAGGATCCCTAACTCTTCTCTCCGATTAGTAAAGCTAACAACTTTTAGTTTACTAAAGACAAGTGAATTAATCTCTATACTCTATATAGCATGGTCAATAACACAGGTGGATTCTTGAGAATAAGCTGGATTCAAACCCAGATTTCCTAACTCATTACTGAGCCTAGAAGACTAAGTTAAGGTGAAGTTAGGATAATACCAGACTACATGGTACAAAAAAGTAATCACTTAAAGTATGCACTAAACGAAAGGAAATAGGAAGCAAATTCTAATACTGAATGGCAGCATTGACTGACATACTCATTTTTTTACCTAGCCAACTGTACTCCTAAATTTACCGAGAAAATAATCAAGCACAAGAACACAGATTTAAGTACAAGGAAGTTGACTGCAGCTTTATAAATAATTACAAGATAGGACATTATCACTAGTTAATTTTTGGTGTATAAATCTAAGGAATACTGTTGTCTAATACCCACAAACTACTATTAGGGGAGGAGGCAACTTTAAAAAACCTTCTGAACTATAGGCAATAAGTCCACGTGCTTTATAACTGTATAACTCAGGACTGGTTAAAAATTGCACCACTAGCCCTGACCGGTTTGGCTCAGTGGCTAGAGCGTCCGTCCGCCTGCGGACCGAAGGGTCCCAGGTTCGATTCCGGTCAAGGGCATGTACCTTGGTTGCGGGCACATCCCCAGTAGAGAGTGTGCAGGAGGCAGCTGATTGATGTTTCTAACTCTCTATCCCTCTCCCTTCCTCTCTGTAAAAAAAAAAAATTTGCACCACCACCACCACATGATCTTAAATCAAAATGCTGGTGTCTTTTATTGAAAACACCTTTTTATTTCAGCAATGATTATGACCTGTGATTCAGACTAATTATTAGACAGGAACCATGTCCATTTTGTTCAGAACTACATCCCACATTGAACACATGTAAAAGATGCTCAGTGCACAGGAAAAACATACAAGAGAATTCACAATAAAGGGGTAGAAGCACCTGGAAAACAAACTTCTCTCTTACCTTGTGATCTGTTCTTGGATAGCTTCAGTGTTGGCCTCTGCAAAAAGGTACAGCATGGTGCAGCTGAAGTAGTGAGTGTGGCTATTTGGGTACCGCAGCTGGTTTGCAATTGCATTTAAGAAGAGATACCGACCTAAAAAAAAAAATCAAGAAAACTCAGTTTAGTGAGGATTTCTGATTGGCTGGGATTTGGATTTCTTCTGCTATAAGTTTTCAAATTATCCTTTAGTCTTTTTTCATTGCTGTGGATCTTATTTCAGTATTTCCACATTAAAGTTTTAAAGTATTTCCCTAAAAAAACTTAGTGAAGTATGTCACTCTTTTACATTACATAATCTCTTTAATGTCACTTAACAGAAGATGGCTGAATTCTCATTTTTGCCTGTCCCACCTGTTCCAGTGTTACATTTCATGTAACCTCTGGAAAACTCCACTGTACCCTCATTACAAAAGAGTACAAAAGAAGCCAAGATATTATGAAAATAGTTTTGACCTCACAGCCCTTCTAAAAGGGTCTTAAACTTTATCAGAGGTTCACAGACCACACTTTATTAACTAGGTTTGGTTGTCTGCCTGTTTGATATTACTCATGTTTGTAAGGCTATCACAGTTTTAAGGTGTCCCTAAAGGCTACCCTCTTTTTGCTGGGCTCTGAACATAATGATAACCAATTTTGTTAAGTCTTGATTTTAATCTGCCTCAAATCCCTTCTACAAATAGGCCAGCAGTATACACATACTCAAGATGAGCCCCTTAAGAATCCATACCAAAGTTAACAGTAGGCAGGCATCCCTTGGTTAGCACCTACTAGAATATAGAAAACAAAGGAAATGCAGTTCAACCAGGCAAAATGCAACCTGTAGTAGGAATTATATTGTGATCTTTTTGCAGAGCAAGTAGGGGAAGTCCTATTCATTAAAGTTTATAATGCCTAATATTAAAATGCTGCCTACCAAATAGGCACCAGCAGGTGATGAGGAAAAGGCAGGTTAACAAAAACAATGTATCAAGCCTATTTTTAAAAGAGAGGCTAATAAAAGGAACATGTTTATTTCTCACATTAAAAAAATACTGCAGTCACATACTGAAATATTAACTGATATGGGAAGAATTCTGGATGATTCTTTATAGTTTTCTGCATTGAGCAGATACTATCCAATTAAAAATAAAATAGCCAGACAGAGCCATAAACACTGACAGAACATTATTTCTCTAATGTATTTTTATGACTGGACTGTAGCTTAAGGTGCAGAAAACCTGACTCTGAGAACTTGCTGGCTTCACTCACCTTCAGTGTCCAAGTCTACAGCCAGGTTCTGGAATATGTCCATGTGAGCCGAGTGGGTGATGGTGCTCATTGAGGGTGTGCTGCCCTTGTTGTGGATGTGTGCAATGGCCTGAGTCCCGACATAGAGCACCAGTGCATTGATGAGCTGTAGGTTATAGCGATTGCCAGGCTCATTTGATACCTAAATGAATAAAACAAAGCACCTGACTTATTCTCAGAGGGCTGATTCATGCCTTTTTATGCCTTCAAAGAAAAGCTGAACTGCTTTCAATATTCTTTGTCATTTACATTTCAGATAAATTTCCTTGAGTTTGTTGAGGGTATTTAACAAATACACAGCTGCCCATGGTGGTTGTGTCAAAAACAAACATTTCCCTTAGGAAAGCGAAGCTCTTTAACAGGTACCAGCATAAAAGTGAAGTTTATAAAGCAAAAATATGCACTACACTTCAGTTACAGAAAAGATTTAGAGAGGGAAAAGGCTTCCTCCTTGGTGTGGAAAATTAATACAACTTCAAGTCATTTTTCTGTAGAGCAAATTAGACCATTTCTTTAGAAAAATCTTGGAGTACTGGCCGGGAATAGTTACTAGCAGTCTGTTCTTACAGAAAATCAGTCCATTCCCTGGTCGCCTCTTCCAAGGTTAGTTTTTTGTCGCTAAGATGAATTAGTAAAATGTATCATCTAGTTACTCTCACCCAACCATCAGAAATGACTTGGAGTGGTGAACACATAATACAACATGCAAATCATGTATTATAGAATTGTACATTTGAAATCTGTATCATTTTATTAACCAATGTCACCCTAAGTTCAATAAATATTAAAAGAAAAAAAATGACAGTATGTGTTTAATCAAGTTGAAAAGACTGATTCCTAATCAGGCCACACATATGGACTGCACAGGAAGTGCTTTTTATGAAAGACATACAGCGAAGAATTAAACCAAACCAATTAACCTGTAGGTTGCTGCGCAGATCAGACAGAAAAGTGACTGGTGACCGAGTTTTAAGATAGGAATCCAAATCCTTTTTGAACTGAGGTGGCATCACTCCAGTAAAATTGGTGAGAATCCGGGGCGCGATGTTAATTTCACTCAACATATCCACCTGCCAAATACAATCAAAACCAGAGCATTTGTAAGAGTTAATTGTATCGATCAACCGAAGGACTTGTATACATGTATATAACCCAAACCAATGGACATGGATAACAGGGGGATGGGAGCATGAGTGTGTGTGTGGGGGGGAGGTTGGGGGTTAATGGGGGGTGATGAGGACACATTTGTAATACCTTAACTAATAATAATAATAAAAAAAAGTTAATTGTATCTATGCTACAAAGTGGTAGAAATGTTTTTCTAAAACTATACACATTATAAATATCTCAAAGAGTAGAGCTGCTTTTTATCAATGCTTAGAAGAATTGAAATGCAAAATTACAGAAAGTATCTCTCTAAAATTAAAGCAGGTTAGGTACTTTTTGTGGAGAGGTCTTACTTGTATCACTAGCCGTTCTTCCCCCCTGGACTTGGACTTCAAAACCAGAGTACAAAATTAGATTAATCACTCACCAAAAGCTCTGGTCTTGGAAAAGACACCCCAGCAGAACAGACATACTTGCTACTTTTAAAAACATTTATGTGAAGGGAGGGTAGAAAATACATAAAAATGACAGTACCCACACCACAGTGGTATGATTTTACACGGTCCCTTTTCTCCCTTACATCAACAATCTAAACAAAATACCTGTGAAATGTGGGCATGCAAAAGGGTCTGTTTGTTCTGCAATTCTGTGCTGTGGGGCCACCCAGCAAATGACTGGCCTGACACCTACTTACCAGAGAACTATTAATATTAAGACATAATTTTCTTTTCCTTGAATTGTTTTTGAAACTTTACCTTCAGATTAGGAGTGAATGGGTCTGGGAGCCTCATGTTTCTTGGGAAGGCACTCAGGATCAGGTTTCTTAGCTGAATACAATTGGGTGGGATCACATCACAGAATCCATAATGGTAATCACAAAGGAACTCCGGGAAATCATGCAGAAGAACCAGCAGCACTCTTAAAGTGCCCTATTAAAAAAGAAAAAAAAAAAAGAAAAAAGCATTTGCTGAAAAATAAACTAAATAAAATGGGAGTAATAGTTTTACTATCATGATTTTTAACTCAAATAAAAGAGGCAGAAGTATACTTCAATGACAAAGTTACAAGCTTTAACAATAACATCACAAGTTATTTAACAAAATATTTATATCTGCAAATTATGAAAAGCTAGGTGTCAAGAATTTATAACCTTAAATACATATGCTAGAAGAGGCTGGACAAAAACAAAAAATAGAACAATGATGTAAATAAGCTATCTTCAGAGGTTGGAAAAAGAACAGCTAATTAAAAACAAAAAAGTAGAGAAAAAAAGCAAAAAAAATTTTTTGAAAAAGCACTGAAACAGGAATAGGGGGTGGAAGTGGCAATTGAAGTTAGAAGTTGGTTCTTTGAAAAGATTAATAAAAGGTAAACCCTACCAAGACTGATAGAAAAAACACAATACTAATATCAGGAATGAAAAAGAACCATCACTACTGACACGAAAAACAGTTTAAGAGAATCTTAATTATGTGCTAATAAATTGGACAATTCAGGTAAAATACACAAAACATTCAATTTTTTAAACCTACATTTAACTACTCAATTTAAATATTCTATTTTTTAAACCTAAGCCAAAAATGAAAATCTGAATAGTCCTTTATAATAAAGAAGTTTAAAGTGTTGTTAAAACCTTTCCCATAAATGTAACTCATGGCCTAGGTGGCTTTACTGGCAAATCCTTACAAATATTTAGGAAAAAAACACTATTTTCACAATCTTATGAAAATAGAGAACATTTTTCCACTCTCAACTGCAGTAGTATTTCGCTGATGATAAAACCTGACATGAAAATTATTCAAAAATCCTAAATGTTAGAAATAGAAATCAGTGATATATCACAACCAAATGGTTCAGAAATGCAATGGTGATTTAAACGCATTTGTAAATTAATGAATTACAACATTAACAGAAAATTTTTTTACAGGGTCTTGTATGCCAAAAAAAAAAAAAAAAAATCAATACCCATTTCATGATTTAACTCACAGCAAATTATAAATAGAAGGGTATTTCCTTAATCAGATAATGGTATCTATAAAGCAAAACTATAGATTCACAAAACCATTATACTTAATGGTGAATTACTGAGAGCTTTCCCCAAGATTACTAATGATGCAATTATTGCTATCTCCTATTTAACAATGTTCTGCAGTTACTGGTCAGTGCAAGAAAAAGAAAATGAAAAACCCACTGTTACAGGTAGATGAAATGATCTGTACTTAGAATATATCCCTTAGAAAAAGTAAATTCAGCAAGGTGGCTGGATACAAGGCAGATATACAAAATCAATTTTATTTCTCTAGACCACTAACAACAAAATGAAAATTTTTAAAAAGATCTCCCTTACAATTTGACAAAAAACATCAAATATATAGGAGTAAATTTAAGGAAAGATATTTAAAACATCTATGCTGAAAACTACAAAGCACTGCAGAGTAAAATTAAAAGCCTAACTAAATGGTGATATACACTTTCATGGGTTGAACAGCTCAACACAACTTACACCATACACAAAAATAAACTCAAAATGGATAAAGTACTTAAATGTAGACGGGAAACGATAAAAATCTTAGAGGAATCCACAGGCAGCAAAATCTCAGATATATGCCAAAGCACTATCTTCAATGATACTGCTCCTAAAGCAATGGAAACTAAAGAGAAAATAAATGGGACTACATCAAAATAAAAAGCTGCTGCACAGCAAAAGAAACAATGAACAAAACAAGAAAGCCCACTGCATGGGAGAACATATTTGCCAATGTTATCTCCAATAAGGGTTTAATCTCTAACATTTACAGGGAACTCATATAGCTTAACAAAAGGAAGATAAACACAATAAAAAAATGGGCAACAGACCTAAACAAATACTTTCTGGAAGAAGACAAAAGGAAGGCCAAGAGACATATGAAAGAAAACATGCTCAAAGTCACTAATCATCCAAGAGATGCAATTAAAACGACAAATGAGGTACCAGCTCACACCTGTCAGAATGGCTATCATCAACAAATCAACAAATGACAAGTGCTGGTGAGGATCTGGAGAAAAAGGAACCCTCATGCACTGCAGAGTGGGAATGCAGATTGGTGCAGCCACTGTGGAGAACAGTATGGAGTTTCCTCAAAAAACTAAAAATGAACTTCCATTTGACCCAGTGATCCCACTTCTAGGAATACATTCCAAGAAACTAGAAACACCAATCAGAAGGGACATATGCACCCCTATGTTCATAGCATCACAATTAACCATAGCAAAGATTTGGAAACAGCCTAAGTGCCCATCAGCAGATGAGTGGTTTAAAAAACTGTGGTACATCTACACAATGGAATACTATGCTGCTATAAAAAGGAAGGAACTCCTACCATTTGCAACAGCATGGATGGACCTGGAGAGCATTATGCTAAGCAAAATAAACCAGTCGGGGAAAGATAAATATCACATAATCTCATTTGTGGAATAAAATGAACAACAAACTGATGAACAAAAACAGATCCAGAGACAGAAAAGCATCAATCAGACCAGCAAGCCTCAGAGGGAAGGCAGGAGAGGGTGGGGGAAAAGGGGGAGAGATCAACCAAAGGACTTGTATGCATGCATATAGCATAACCAATGGACACAGACACCGGGGGGTGAGGGCGCGAGTTGGGGGAGGAAGAAGGGGGGAAAGGGGCGATAAGGACACATATGTAATACCTTAATCAAAATAAAAAAGGAGGGGGGGGAGGCTCAACATTATCAAGATGTCTAGTCTCTCCAAATTGATCTATAGGCTTAAGTGCAATCTCCTTTTAAACTCCAGCAAGTTTTTAGAAGTGAAACTGATTGCAAAGTTTTTAAAGAACTGCAAAATGGTACAGACCAAAAAAAAAAAATAAAAGAAAATAAAGTCACCCTGGCCAGGTGGCTCAGTCAGTTGCAACTTTGTCCAGTACACCAAAAAGTTGCAGTGCTATTCCTGATCAGGGCGCATATGGGAAGCAACCGATTGATGTCTCTCTCTCACATCAATGTTTCTCTCTCTAAAGTCAATAAAAAAATATTTTTAAAAATGTAGTCAATTTTTTTGACATAAGTGCCAAATCAATAGAAAGTGAAGGACTTAAAATAAATTTGGGATACAGCACAGATTTAAACTTGGGCAGGCACACATATAACAGAATGCAATTTGGAATTGGCAAATATTTCTTAGGCAAGACACACAAAAACAACATTTAAAGGAAGTAAAAAAAATTGCTAATTTCTACTACACTAAATTTAAAACATCTGTTCCTTAAGACACCTTACTTTAAGGGAGTGACATGAAAAGACAAGCTACAAGAAAAGTGAGTGTGATATCTATTAACCAAGGGCTTACATCCAGAATGAATTAAGAATTCCTATAAGACATAAGGAAAATGCAGATAATCGAATAGAAATATGAGCACAAGACTGGAAAAGGAACATCACAAAAGGAGACTATCCAAATGGCCAATGTATACATAAAAACCTCATTAAGAATCCAAGGAAATGCAAATCAAGTCCACAATGAGTTATGCAATCCTAATGCATAACTGCCAAAAATGGTTAGAATGAAAACCAGACAATATAACCAGAATGAAAAGAATGTGAACAGTAACTCTAATGTTGCTGAAGAGTTAACTGGTACACACATTTTGTAAAACTGGTAGTATCTACCAAAGTTGAACATATGAGTATCATATGATCCAGTGCTGGTTATGCAAATATGTTTGAGTTTTGCACTTTTCTGAATATATGTCATACTTCAGCGGTTCTCAACATGTGGGTCGCGACCCCTTTGGGGGTCGAACGACCCTTTCACAGGGGTCACCTAAATACATCCTGCCTATCAGATATTTACATTACGATTCACAACAGTAGCAAAATTACAGTTATGAAGTAGCAATGAAAATAATTTTATGGTTGAGGGTTACCACAACATGAGGAACTGTATTAAAGGGTCACGGCATAAGGAAGGTTGAGAACCACTGCTTTAAAAGCTTACTAATAAAACAAATATTAGGCCTCATATTTCCAGTTGTGTGTTTTATTGTTACATTTTCATTATTTTTAATCTATAACTCCAAATTAATTACCTTGTAGAGGATTTGCATAGGTTTGGTGAGTTCCACATTTCTAAGGAAAGGTGCTAAATATTTGAATAAATCAATCAGTAGCTGTGCATACATAGGCCATCCCTGAAAGAAAGAAATGTACATGAGTCTTACTCAGCTGTTATTCTGACACCAAAAAATTGCTGAATCAGCTATACTGTGATTTCTTCTTCATACTGATTTAACTATAGAATACTGCCATAAGTACCTCTCTTAAAGACTGGCATTAAAAGGAATAAGCATAATTATGTTGATAGTGACAAACAAGCTGACTCCAAAAATTCCAGGACATGTAGGTCCTTGTGCCTGAAGCAAAATTTAAAGAACAGGAGAGAGCCGAGCTGGTGTTACTCAGTGGTTGAGCTTCGACCCATAACCAAGAGGCCACGGTTCCATTCCCAGTGGGGGCACATGCCTAGGTTGCCGGCTTGATCCCCAGTGTGGGGCCTGCAGGAAGCAGCCAATTAATGATTCTCTCTCATCATTGATGTTCTATCCCTCTCTTCCTTCCTCTTT